CTTTACTTTTCTTTTTTTAAATTTAAATTAATTTTTAATTCCTTTGATATTATATATATTATAGTTATTTATTTATTTAAAATATTAATTGCTTATTGTTATATAATTCCTCATATTGATTAATAAGTATTTTAATATTGTAAAAATTTTAAAAGTTTAATTTATAGAATTAAATCTTGAAAGATTTATATTTCAAAAAACAAAGTATTTTACTATTATTGAATTCTTTATATTTTATATAATCATTTGATCAAATTTTACAAATAAATAATCAAATTATTATAATAATATATTTTTGATTATTTTTTCTATTAATAAATCTTATTGTAGATTAGAAATACATTTTAATAGAATTGTAATTAAAAAGATAAAGTATTTATTATAATATATGAAATTTAATATTATAAAAATAACATAATTGATTATTAAAAATTCTGAATTGACAAAGTATTGTAAATTATAATTTTATTTATATATATTGCAAAGTTAAAAAGTTATAATAAATATACAAAATATTACAATATTATAAAATTATAAATTTTATAATATTGCAAATTATAAAAATAATTAAGGATATTATTTTTATATGATTAAATTTATTAAATATTTAATACTTAATTTTTTTTGCAATTATAAAAAAAAATTTTTTAAAATACTATATAATACAGTCAGACCTGTTCTGTTTATAATCACTTTGTTTATAATCAACATCATAAAAAAAAAACTTTTTACAATCATATTAAAACTAGTTATGATTAAATTAATAAAAAAATACCTTTATATTATCATAATTTAGTAAAATCTTTTTATAAGCATATATTTTACAAAAAAATGGTAATTTTTAAAATTATAATATTTATGATATTTATTCTACTATTGCATCAATTAAAATATATATTACATTATTTTAAAGTTAAAAAAATAACAGATTTTATTTTTAAAAAAATATATAATATTCATTTATCAATTTTCTTAATAACTTTTCTGCAAAAACATGAAATCAGATCTACTAAATCTATTAGAAGCCTATTTAATATTTTTTTTTTTTAATGTTTCATTAAAAAAACTTTTAATTTATTAGCTAATACAACTTTATATTCCTTTTAATAATTACCAATAATTTCCAATGAATTTTAGATTTGGATTATTAAAAGACCAATTTATAATCTTTGGGATATTATTTTCAAAAAATTACTTAATAAATTACTAATTACTTAATAAAATATCTAAAATACTTAGAATAATTAGCATTTTTTATTTTAATATTCAATTTATTTATAGTTTTATAAATAATTTTTATTAATTAGTATATTTTAATAGCATTGGATATTTCTTGGTTTTGGAAATATAATATTATTTAATATTAAGTTTTTTGACTAAATGAATTATTTATTAAAGTTTTACTTGAAAATAATTAATTATATGCATATTTATTTATGTACATACAGAACGACTAAAATTAGAGTTACATAATGATGATAACATTGTCATTTTTTTTGCACCACTATATATATAATTAAATTTATATTTATATATCGATATTACCAATATTTGATTATAAAATATTTGATTATAAATATTATATAATTAATTTTTTATTTTTTTTTTGATTATAAACTTTATTTTTTATGATACGATCGTGATTTTATGAAATCATAAAAAGTTTATTATTCGAAAAAAATTAAAATGTTTATAAAATAAAAATTTTTTATTGTTATAAAATCAAATTTTTCCATGACTACATTACCCACTCATTCCGTTTTCCTTTTAAGTAACATTCATGATTTTTCTCGAAAATTTAAAAACAAAAAAATCATATCAAACTTTAATTTTTTCCAATATACATACATACATACATTAAGGTGTGTGAAAGAATAAAATGTCTCAATTTGTATTAAGTAATTGCTTAGAAGAACATAGAATCACTATCCTGTGTTATTAAGGATGCCACAGACATAACATTATTTGATGTTTCTTTGTGCTGCTGCTGCTGTTCATGTTGAGCATTGGCTCTTTCATCGAATTCCATTTCCCTGTCCTCATTAATTTGGATGTTCACTTCTTGATCAACGGTTTGCTTATGCATCTCTTCAACATATTTAGAAGCGGTCGCCAATTTCGTTTGTATTATTTCGTCCTTAAGTACTATATTAGAAGCTTTTCGAAGCTTTTCCGAAATTTTATTTAACGTATCAACATCCAATGTCACCTTGGCCAGTTTCATATAGAATAGTATATATTTGTGTACGTAAACAAAGTGTCTGCCCGATCTGAAATTTCATATTATGAAGTCAAATATTTAAATAAATTATGACGATGATAACAATTATAATGATTATTAAATATATAATTACCTTTCGAATTCAGGTTTCCAAACATTCATAAACGTTTTGGATGTCAACTTTAAATGAAACAAAGGTGATAGTATTGATTTGGCAATTTCCGGCTTTTGTTCCACATGATAAATCAAGCGTGCATGCTATCAACAGTCGATTTAGGCAATAAGTTAATGTTGAATATTATAAAAATATATGCTGAAAATTATAACTTACTCTAAATATAGGCCGATGATGCCATTTATTTTTATCAGCCTTGCGTATATCTTCGAGTTTAGAACAGATCAGATCATACGCGTGACGGTATTCAGGTATATTGATGTCAAAACTTTCGAGATGATCCTCTTGTGATCCCTTATGAGCAACAGCAGCAACATCTTCACCTTCAATATCGATATCAAGATATTTTTCAATAAGGGATGGCTATAAATAATAGTAAAGTCAATATTGAACATGATTTTAACATTTGCCAATATAACCAATTTTATTAAATTGTTTGAAATAATTCACCTTTATTTGACCCTTTATTAAATATTTGGATAACGCCGAAGTAATTTTATATTCAGCATCCAGTATTTTTTCTTGACCGGAAACACCAGATTTTTCAGGAGTTCGATCTACAGCCATTTTATATAGTTGAATAACCACCTAAAATAATTAATAAAATATTAATATTTAATTCTATGATAGTTGCATCAAAGTTTCATCAAAAGGTTGAAAAATACCTCTGGTGGTTTTTGAAGTTTTTGGTAACATTTGCCAAGCATATAAGGTATTCTATAAGTGAAATGAAGATTTAGACGAAGAAATATGAAAATAAAGTAAGTAATTTGCACTTAAACGGTACCTCCAATCATGAATCATTGGCGTTCCATTTCCATTATCACTTTGGTTCTCAATTAAATATCTCTCATTCTGCATTGCTTTCCCAAAACAATAAGCAGAAAATGCGTAAGCATCCTTGACACTTGGTCTACGCCATAACACAGCATGATAGGGATTTAATTGAAATGCTTCCATTGACATTGGTTCGGTAATCATTGAATAAACCTGATAACCAAAATCCCTCCAAAAATTCACTTCATCACTTGGTACTGCTAGCGACTGCTGTCCAGAAAACCAGGTAATCACCTTCGCAGCTCTCGCATAACAAAGAAATGATTTCTAAGAGATATTAGAAAAATTTGTTAGTTGATACATGGAATAAATTAGTAAATTTTGATCTAAATACCTTCTGATATTTTGCAATCCTTCCTCGATTATTTATTATTTCTTCGGCGTTCCATGTTAAATTTTCATCAGCAAGACTTGCATAACAAGATCCCAATGCGTACCATGAAGCAAATCTTAGTGGATTATTGGAAAGATCATACTACGAAAAATATATATTAAAATGTAATCATTTATAAAAACACTATTAACAAGATGACATACAGTGAATTGTTCTATAGCCCTCTCCAAAGTTTCAATTGCCTTTGTTTGATTACCCTTTGTACGGGTCTTAAATTGATATTGTAGAATTTTTCCACGAAAATAATAAAGATCTGTGATAGCTATTGGAATTATCATCAAAAATATCAACAAAAAACCCCGCCTCATTAACATTAAAAAACAATTCATTGATAAAGATAGTTGAAGCACATACCCTCTCCAGCATCTCTATAGGAAACCGCACCAAGGTCGCTAACGTAATGATCGTGTTCTTTATATTGTATAGCTTCATAAAAATTAATTTCACTATCAAGGAAATGTTGTGTTCTCCAACTACACTGATTGAACCCTATTAAAAGAAAACACGTATTATAAAAAATCATCTTGTTTAAGGCCAAAAAGAAAAATAACTAAAGTAGAATCTTACGGTCGCTTCGCGGAGGAATGACTATATTAGCTATCTTATCCAAAGTGTCCTTGACATCATTCTTGATCTGCCAAGTCCGGAATGGTTTTTCGTTAATATAATTTCGAATGTTCTTGAAAAGCAATTCTGCTGTTTTGATATCGAGTTCAACAGGCTGGGTTTTGTGATCCCATGGAACTTCAGTATCAACCTAATAAGTATGTAATATTCTATTGTCAACAACATTATTTAAATGGATTGTAAAATAGTTTAAACTTCAAATAGAATTACAGACACTGAGAACAACTCGATATAAACAATGGCAGCATTGATATTCATGTATACGGTTTTCTGATGGATGTAGTTCGGTAAAGGCTTTGATGCAAAATTTCAAAAATGCACCTAAAAATAACACATTATCAAATAAATAAAAAAACGAACGTAAAAAATTTATGAAAAATTTTTTAAAATAAGATCAAACCGCACCATTATCTGTTCCGCAAATATAACGCTCCCCTAGTTGATCATGAACGGTCACTAAAAATTCAACAAATTCTTCACTCGAAACGGAAGACTTTTCTTTTAATAAATGATAAAATAAAATCCATGTACGAGCACACAAGATATGAAGATGTTCGCTTGATTCAGCTTCAGCATTTACAATCTCTTCAGTTTTTGGGAATAGTATTTCAAAACTCGTTTTGTACAATATACGGAAATATTTTTTGAATTTCTTATATTCATTTTCTGGAAGGTTGGCTGTTATAATCATATTTTTTTTGAAGAAATGTCAAATCAACTTAGTTTATTTTAGTTAATTTTATCATAACTTTTGTTTCAAAAATTTTACTTACCAACTGAATGCCCTTCCGACATGAGTTCAGCAACTTTTGATATCGCTTCATTTATCTATGAAAGAGGAAAATTAAAACAATGAGATTTGATTTTTAATTTAAAAATAAATGAAATTTTACCAACCGAATGAATCGTGGTCCAAAATTGAACCACCCTATCTTCATCAATGTTATCAGAAACCCAATTTAGCAAAAATTTGATCGTATCAGAAAAATGTGTAATTGCACGTGACCAATCATCTTCGGGCAATTCCTTACGAGACTCCAATGACACGATTTTATTATTTATTATTGCAACATTAATATGGGCATCAAATGCACTGTACAAGTAAAATAAGATAAGTTTAGAAATAAATAATAAAAGTTCTTGGAAACGTAAAATTCAAATAATTACCAATTAGCTATCGTAACATCCACGCATTCACCCAGTTCAAGAATCCTTTTGCATTCATCAAAAGAAGTCCTTGCTTTATCTAAATCTCTTTGCCAAAAGTCATTACGAGCAGTACACCACCAATATCTATTTTGAACATAAATATAGAGGATGCAATTACGCGTATTTTATTTGAAAAATTATGTCAAACAGCATACCTTGCGTTCAATTGATTCGACCACATTTTCCACATTTTATGATGGTGTTCCCACTTCCTAACATCCTCTTCATATAGTGGTCCTTGAGATTTAGCATACGACACAAAATCCATTATATTCCATGATGAACGATATATTAACCATTTACACATGTCTAAAGTTGTTTGCAAGTTCTAGAAGGAAATCAAGTATAAAAAACATTGATAAAAAAAACTTTGATTTAAAAACAAAAGATAAGAAATCTTACGGAAGTCATTTCTTGACAACAGCTTGGAGAATCTTGAACATCTTCAGGAGTTGTAATACCATTTCTTGATATTTGAGAATCAAATAGAAATTCGCATATACCCATCAAAACCTGAAAAATAAGCAAACCCGAAACATATTAATTACAAATAAACTTATAATGTATTCAGATGTAAACAATAAATACCTCGGATTTTTGCTTCATTTGTTGAAAAATGTTATCGTAGCTTTCCTCCATAATCACATTGGCACAATTGACTGATCTGTCCCAATCAGTGCAAGTATTTTCGATCATTGCCAACAATTGATTGTCTACCCTTTGTAGAATCTCTCTAACTATTTCTTTTAATCCATCTGGCCATCTACAAAGCCACAACGGCTTAATCCCATCTTCAGTTTCCACCAATTTTCCAAACAAATGTATAATGTACATGCATAAATAGTCTGTAATTCCAGAATTTTTATTATTCATGTCATTGACGAACGTTGCAAATGATTCTTGCATTCGGTAGTTGTCATGAAAGTAAGAATTAGATGGAGGTGGATCGGTATGAGGGGTAAACATATAGAATCGAGGATCAGATGCAGTGTTTGTTCTGTAATTAAGTAAAAAAATAAGTAATAAGAAACTACATCAAATGTTGAAATTAATAAATAAATTACTTACGTACCTCGGATTATTTATGGCCTCTTCGACATTTGATCCATGATACTCGCTTAGAACATGTTGATTCCAAACTTTACTAAAATATAATAGAAATTTATCGCTTTCTGCATCATCCTCTTGCTTAATGTTTATTAAATAATCGCGCTCTACTTTTTCTATGATCGATTCGATTTTTTCAAGGAATTCCAATGAAGAATCATTCCGTTTTTGATTAAACGAGTCTATTTTTGATGTAATTTTAGATGTAACACGCGACGAACTATTTTTTTTTATATATAGAAATATATAAAGAAAATATTATTAGACAACATGAACGCTTATTAAATAACTGCAATATTCTTATTTTTTTTTTTCTCAAAAATATACCGTGTCTGCGTTGTTTTATCATTACTGTAATCATTTGGAGGCTCCTTCCTTTTTCGCCTTTGAGCAGTTACACTAGCGTCATTCATATCCGGAGTTTTAACGACATTGCCTTGAAGGTCTATTATGATGTGTCGACTTTTAACTGGAATGAGCGAATCGTCATCGACAATCTTACTATTTGACACAAACATTTCATATATTTAGTGACTGACTTTCGAATAAATCATTCATCTAGAATTAAAGAAATTAAAACTATATTCACCCTGACATGATTTTGTCATAAACAATTAGTAAAAATTCACCTAGTCCATTCCATGTACAATTTGGCAAATTAAATCGCAATGATTTCATTGCATTAGGACTAAACACTCCTATTTTATAATAAATAAGATTAATTGAGAATATTCATTAAGTATAATCATTTTGATATGTGAAGTTATTCACCGGATGGTTTCAAACGTCTTGGAATATCCTCCGAATATAAAGGCCTTATTATGGGTGGAGAGTTTTCATAATAATCGCTAATCATTTAAAGATTTCAAAAGTAATAAGCATAATTAAATTAACTAATTAAATAAATAAAATCTTAAAGTAAAACTTACTTTGGTAATAATGATCTAACCCATGTATTCTCCAATAGTTGAATTCTGAGTTGATTAAGTGTCTGATTGTAAGGGTCTGTTTTCAAGCCTTTATCAATTGCACGCAGACAAGCATAAAAATCACCAATGTCATACAAAAGCTAGAAAAGTCGGATTGAGATTAATACTTTATACTTCTCAATAACTTCTAAAAAAAAATATAATACTTACACGACATAATTCTCTTAAAGCTTCTTGGTGAATCGGCGAGAGGAATACGGGAGGTACGTGAATGTCTTCATCAAAATTTGAAAACGATTGTGCAACATTGAAGTCTTCTAATGCTTTTGTTAAGGCTGAGCGAGCATATTGGGGATCATTGATCTCTTCTGACATTGCAAGTTTCCCAATCTTTAACCAGATGCTATGGTCAGATTGATCAATTCTTAACGCCTGAAGTTATAACAAAATATCTATTAAGAATGAAGGAGATATTAAAAAATTTACGTGTTTAATAAAAAATCTTGCTTACCCTATGATAATATTCGATTGCATTTTGTGCATCTATTTTAGTCCTGTGAATTTGATGCTCGTGTTCTAATAATTCTGCATAATTCTTTAACACACAATATTTTAATCGAGTAATACGTTGTGATAACGGTATACCATTGTTTGGAACCTATTTGACGAAATCAATAAAACTTAAAAGATGCTCTTAATTAACGGAATATTAAATGAATGAATTATGTTTACTTGAAACGTTTGATTTTTCATTAAATCGTGCTTTAGAAGTTTCACATATAACTCCTTTGCACCAGTATGATCGCGCCGAAGTGCCAAATTGTATAAGGTTTCGCATTGTCGCAACTAAAAATTTAACGGTCAGCATTACAATTCAATCTGAAATAGTAAACGAATTCAAAAAAAAAAAAAAAAAAAATCAGTTTATACCGGCGCATCGTGTGGATCTACTGGCTGTTCAGTTGGTAAAACGTTGGAATCATTTAAGGCAGTGAATTTAATCAACTGGAAA